AAACACTCCAGGTTTTATTCACGGCGCTACACAGAGGTTCTGATGCAGGATGAATCCACATGAAAGCTGAGTCAGTCTTGAGCTGTGTACAACGTGGATAAGTTCCTCCTTCACTCATTAACTTTTCCCCATAAGAAAACTAACGAATATGTTTTGTAGCACATTAATTCAGTTCCAGTGTATAATGAATAACTGTTCTTTAAAATATATAACAAGGTGTACTGAACGTCTAACAGATAAACATAACAGAAACACACGAACAGAGAGCAGCGCCTTGTTTAGTTTTATGTAAAACCTTTATGTACTGTAAGTATTAGAAATAACAATTTTATTTTAGAAGAAATATTTTTTAAGTTTTTCATAGGCGTGACAGGGTTACTTTAAATAAAATTACCAATAAAAGTCTTAAATACCAATACAGTATAAGAATATCCTATTATGTAATTAGTTAACTATATTTATCGTTGAGAGCCATCAGTTTCTGCTAGTTTATTGTCCCTATGTGGTGTAATGAATGCGCATAAGTGAAAACTGCTCTGGAATGGTAAAATACATATACAGTATGTAAAGTTTAGAGTTTAGGCAAGGATTTATATATATATATATATATATATATATATATATATATATATATATATATATATATATATATATATATATATATATATATATATATACACAGGAAGAGAATGGTGTATTGCCTAAGTCTTAATGAAGTGTCTATACGGTTATCAGAGTTCATAGTGTAGCCTTAGAATTTAATCGAAACGACTTTTACTTTACTTTTAACCTTTTACCCACTGATCGGCTTGTTAGTCGCTCGGGCGGTCGGTCACGTCTCTGTTACGCACTGTCGGCAAGTACTGGGAATGCACTGGCTCCAGAATGTATTTGTACCTGCTCCAGTGTTGGTCAAATCTGGTTTTGAATGATATCATACTTGGTGCCGTCACAATGCTCTCTGGCAGATTGTTCCAAGAGTTCACAATTCTCACTCCGAAAAAGTTTGTCCTCACAATTTTCTGAATTTGTGATTTCTTCAACCTTAAGACCCCTTGTGGGGCAGCGTCCGCCAACTCTAGATATTAACACCACGTTTCAGGATCTGAGTCCAAACATCAAGTATCTTAAGTAATTGCATCAAGCGGGAGCGTCCCGGCGTAACAGCCCAAAATATACCCCCTCCCCAGACTATACCCGGGGTTAAAGTGGGCTACCCTGTTTTATACCCCGGGTATATTATGGGCTAGTCCAGTTTATACCCCGGGGTGTAAAACAGGCTAGGCTTTTTCATACCCCCTAGGCCAGATTATACCCCCCCCCCCCACACACACTCAGAAACCAGCCCTATGAGAGTTCTGTTTTGAACTCAGTGGTCTGGCTAAACTATCTTAATTTAAATTAAAAAAACACTCGGATATTAAATTTTCACTTGTTCTGGCCCTGATGGGGTAATACCACCCCACACCTCATTCCTAAGCCTATCTCTTCAGCCTATAAAATTTGCTTTTCTGAAGTCTGTTACAATTCTATTATTTTCTTCTCATTTGTTAAGTTAAGGTCAAATCTGATGACTTTGTGACCGCTACTTCCTAATGTTTCTCCAATTTCTAAATTTGTAATTGTATTTTATCTATTACTTAATACTAAATCCCCCGAGTTACCTTATTTATGAAAAACACAAGGAGGTATAATCTGGACAGGAGAGATATAGTCTGGTCTAGCCCAAAATATATAAATTATGATGGAAAAAACTCTGGACATTGAAATACAGACTTATTTATGAAAAACACAAGGGGGTATAATCTGGACTAGAAAGGTATAGTCTGGGCTAGCCCAAAATATACCCCAGGGTATATTTTGGGCTAGCCCACTGTAACCCCGGGTATAGTTTGGCGGGGGGTTAATGTGGGCTGCTACACCGGCATAAAATCATGTTGACATTCCTTTACTGGGTTGTTTCGCAGTAGATGTTTCATCGTGGCATCTCTAGAACTTTCCACATTATTTGTGGATTGGTGATCTCTCTGCTTGAATATAGGACTCAGATAACCCATTTTCCACTCACTGGGGACCTTTTACTCATCCAAGCATCTGCAGCACACGATCTTAAGGGGCTCCGCGAGCTCTTTGCATAACTCTCTTAGCACTCTAGGATGCACTCTGTCAGGGCCAGGGGTCTTAAGAACCTTTACATTTGACAGTATTTTCTTATACACTTTTTGAGGACAAAACTTAATGTGCGTCAGCGCTGTGTCAAACCGTCTTCCCTCAAATGCAGGGAGATTTATCGCATCGTCTCTTGTGAACACTGAGGAAAATAATTTGTTTAACTCCTCCGCCTTGTCCTGATCTGAGTTCTGTAACTACCATCTTCAATTCTCAGAGCTGATACGTCCACACATGTCTTTAATTTTGACTTTGTGTAACGGTAGAAAGCCTTTATATTTGGTTTGGTCTGGTTTGCAATCCACCTCTGACACCCTTGCAGCCCTTCTACACTTCTACATTGCTTGGTTCCTGGACCTGGCATTCACCCTTCTGTCTTGCTCATCAGATACAGAAACTATTACTGAAACATTTTTTTTACTTCTTTACGAGCTCATATGATGTCTTACATATCATATGATCATTCTCCTTTATAACTATACAAATTACTTTCTTTTATCGGCATTTGATTTTTGTTTTTTCAATATATTTAATTATGGATAAATTTCAATGTCTCTCATTTTATTGTTCCCATAACAGACAGCGCTGAGACAGTGTACTCATTGGTGGACGTATACTGTAATGTTAACGTGCACCACACAAGGATCACCTGCACTTTTCCCTGGCCAAGAGGTGCTTTTTAAAGGCTGCAGCCAAACTTTTCACGGTGAGCTAACGTGTAGTATCTCAGCTACCTTCCCATTATAGGTGTCTCCATCACATGTTCCAAAATATCCGTATTCCTGTACCTTCTCAAGATCTTTACCAGTCAAAGTAAGTTTAACATTCAGTTCTATAATAGTATCATGAATTACTGAACCTAAAAATTTGGGGAATTTTCCTAACTGCCTCAATGGTAACTGTTTCCCTGTAACTAACTGGTTTATTTTACAGGAGTGTGATAGCAACCTCACATCTTTAGATTATTTTTCTGATGCATTGCTGTTCTTCAGTACTTTATAAAGGGTAAGACTGAAAACACTTCCCAGTGGTTTTCCCAAATCAAATTGTTTCTTTGGTGACTAATTTCTTAAAAGGTTCTCAAATACTGCAAGATTTGCCATCTACAAATAATCACATCACTCTCTTTATCAAAAGCTTATTGCAAAGTTAACAAGGAGTCTACACTTACCTGTTTCATAATTATAAAAAAATATTTCATCACACACACAGACACAACTGTGATGCTGTATTCTATAAAACAAAATAATTGGAGCGACTTTTCCAGGCCACCATTTTGCAGATATTTCACCAATTCCTATAAATACTGAAACTATTTTAGCTTTCTTTCGTTTTCTAGGTAATTCATCCTCATTAAAGCTTGAATATGTAAATCCAGTAGTTGGCCATTGTCTTCACTTACATAGCAGTCTAGCGTATCACACATACGGGTTCCCATCCTTAAGTAAGGCTGTTTAATGCCTTTTTCTTAATTGTATTCACCAACTGCTGTCTGGGAACAAACACTTCTCATACATTCACATTGGATTCTATCACTCTATGTCCAACAGTTTTCCGGGAATTTCACTTGTTTCTTAAGTCATTGGTAGGGAGGACGTATTATATACCAGCGCCACTCTCCTACTGATTCATGCGTCTTGACCCACACCTGCCGAGTCAGCTGTTGTGATAAAGTTCTCTCTTCTTCCTTGTTCATCTTTTTATTTTCCTTCAAGATGTCTTAACAGTTTGACTAGTCTGAACTTATGAGTAAAGAATGTTCACCGTCATATATAATAATAAATAATAATGATAATAATTAACGGTTTATTGAAAAAGTTCTGCAACCCGAAGGCTGAAAATATACATTGGACATAAAATGACTTATTACATACATTGGTGGTTTAACAAAAGCCTTCATTAGAGAAAGGTAAAGGAACATACAGTGAACATATAGATTAATGTAGGTGTTGAACAGCAAACATGTAGTGTAGTAACTCCCTCCCAGATGGTGTTAGGAGGAACTCACGTGGTGTAGTAGTTCCCTCACAGATGGTGTTATGAGAGACCTGACGTGGTGTAGTAATTCCCTCACAGATGGTGCTATGAGGGACCACGTGGTGTAGTAATTCCCTCACAGATGGTGTTATGAGGGACCTCACGTGGTGTAGTAATTACCTCACAGATGGTGTTATGAGGGGCCTCACGTGGTGTAGTAATTCCCTCACAGATGGTGTTATGAGGGACCTCACGTGGTGTAGTAATTCTCTCACAGATGGTGTTATGAGGGGCCTCACGTGGTGTAGTAACTCCCTCACAGATGGTGTTATGAGGGGCCTCACGTGGTGTAGTAATTCCTTCACAGATGGTGTTATATGAGTGAGGTGTGGTCCCAGGCCTTCCTATCGTAGACGGATTAACACATCGCTGGTTGTTGTTGGGTCTCACGGGCCGTTATCACTGGGTACCTGGGACCTCACTGTGTGAAGGTTAACTTGGGTACGACTGTTACTGTTGAGTTGTTCTCACTGACTTAAGCACTGTTCACAACTGTTCACCGTTGTTTAACACTGGTTCCATTCCTTTCCTAAATGAAATTGTAACTTCTGGCGAGAACTTGTTGATATTCCGGTGGGGAGGAGGGTTCAGGGGAGGGAGTTGGTATGGGCCAACTTAACAGTTGACCTGGCTGCTCCAAGAGGAGCGCCAGGTACGTTTTCCTGAAGTGTCGTAAAAAATACAAAATCTTGCCACTGTTAAAGATAATATTTTAGATTCCCTTATCCAATAAGTTTTCTTCTTATTTCACTCTGACTCCCGTTACCAAAGTAAGAAGAAATAAAAAACACATCAAACCTGAGAGGGACTTATTTATTCAGATTCTGTCAAAGATTTTTTTTTTTTTGCAGACTCAGTAGTAACTATCACAGTAGATATTATCACTTTCCAAAGGGATATATGTTATTAGAGGGCTCAACGCACACTCTACCACAACACACGCCAGTAGAACAACATTTCTTGGTACCCAAACAGTTCCTGTCACTCTCACAGTCACGGTTGTGTGTGTCTTCAGAGAATTCCCTGTGGCAGAGGTGAATTATGATTAAATTGTCATCGGAGGTTATTTATGGTTTACTATATTTTTTATGTATTGTTGATAGTGTTATTGTATACGTTATTTTCCTATTGTTTGTTACATTTTTTACTGCCATATTTATTATTAGTAGGAATGATTATATTACCTGAGTTGCTAATACATTATTTCCACACGATTATTCACTTCTCTATTTGCTTACGTTCATACCTTTACACTGATCAGCCTGGAACTTGACTTCCATAAATATGGCCTAGGGTAAAGTTCCTTGGTTGTGGTGTACCGAATCTTAACCTGGACCTGTGCTATTTACATTTCTTTTATATCTTGAGAACTGATAACGAGAATTTCTTAAAAATATAAATCTAATAAATTTTCTGGCAGAGTTCTTGATTGTTCGCCTGTCATGAACATTCAGAGATAACGAGTTGTATGTTAATTATTGAGTACACATTCTTCCTAGAATCTTTACATTTCTAGTTATCATTATTACTGCCGTTGCCATTATTACTATTATTGCATATATCACTTAACTAAAGAGTTAACGAACATGTTAAATTGTGTATCTGTTAAAATTTTAGCAGCCTACGTTTAGCAAAAGCTACATGTCAGTATGTTAAGGTATATACTAACTAAAGCGTAAGTAAACCTCGTTGTCACATCTGATACAGCAACACCAAACAAGAAAATACCTAAAGTCAGTAGTGGCAGAACGACGGAAATATATAATCTATAACTTTCAGAAGTATACGAGCATAAAATGTATAGGCTAAAATTACCACCAGCAGACATACTGGAAAGCAAAGGTTTATGCACCATACAGCTATACAGTACACCATATACCAAGCGCAAATTTTTCTCGCCAAACCAGCAGGTAAACTTCAGCAGGACCGACCCTCATCTTGAAAAGCTTACCTGGCGCGGTGTATTCCTGGGGGCGGAGCAGGGAAAAGCGGACATTCTCCAGGTTTCTGTCCGCCATAAAGTGATAACCCCTCAGCGGCAACTACTACCTAAGGATTAAATGGATATTGAGAAAAATCGTAATAATAGCATGGAATAAATCTGGGGTACCAAGAATGTGAAATAAATGTTTAGCTGTTGAGTCTATCTAAAACACAAATTTAGGGTCTTAACAGTTTAGCTCTGCTTTAACAGCAGACTGGTGTATTTACTTACATCAGCTACATGTACCTGACTTGACAGTAACTGGCGAACACCTTGGGACACAAATTTTCTATCACAAATATAACTACTTTAATGATGCTAGACACTGAAAACAGATTGTGAAATATTGCTTTCTAAATATTATTACTATTTTGTTAGGGTAGCTAAGTACAGTGTATCCAAAACTTGGAGTTGAACACCACCAACAAGTAACCCGCGTCCGACCTACCCGGACAGATACACATTATTATCTCTTAAGTCACAACCAAACATTGTATGGGAGGAAATGATATCGTCGGTATAAAAGAATTTAAATGTGTAAAAATAGTGTTTGTCAGGATTTATTAATTACTTGCTACAAGTTCCAGCTCTGGTCTGAAGATGGTCATTAAGCCTTATTATTCATGGTTCATATGATAAATTCTAGATTAAAAAAAATGCACTAAAAATATTATTAATGCCAAAACTTTATGCATTTAATTTCATAACAAAACGTCATCCCCGGAATTCCCTTTTATGTTTGTGTCCTGGTCTTTTGTTTCTCAAAAGCGCCAGTTCTTCTAAAGAACTGTAAAGTCACGGACCCCAGAATAAAAAAAAAGAAACAATATATAAAAAATCACAAAGTGACAGTTCGTATATCAGAAGCCTCTTGAGCATTATAAGCTTTGAACAGAAGTCAGCTGCTTCATGGATGTAGGCAACTGACACAGCAGTCTGGGTGCTGTACTGGAAAAAGATAGGACAGCGAAAGAACAATACTATATAATTCTCGACTTACCATAGCTAGGACGACCATTACAGCCACTGAGGCAGAAGCCAATTTTGTCAACATAATGAATGATCGTTGTCGTAGGTCGCTCACTGGATAACTTGATGAGTTGTGGGTCACTCACTAGTCAACTTGGGCTTAGAGAAGAACTGTATATCTATATGTGCTCAGATCATATTCAGAAGCACAAGTGAAAGCAAGGTAGTGGTCGAGTCATTTATATATGTTGTGTGAAGGCCAGCTAGCTTGGCCTGCGGTGTATTGGGATTCCCGTATGCTGACGTAATAGCCACAAATACTCTTAAGCCCTTACTTTTGTTTTATAATAGATAGTCATAACAATTATAGAATCATGTACAGGTAAAAACTTTGCCATTGTAGGGGTATCGAGATATTAATGTTGTCTCGCACTCAGGATGGAAGGAAACTCTAATGTGGTTTTCTTATATAATATAAGTTATATGATAGACAGTCTGGTGCTGGAGGTGCCGTGTGGTGAGGAGCTGCTCGGTAGAAGACGTTCGGTGAGTAGCGTGTTGAAGGAGGTAGATGTGCAGGATAGGGTGTGTCAATTAAGGGGGTGAACTGGCTAAATTGAAAATCGAGTAATTTGGTAGCAATTTATTGTAGTCTTTAAGCATGCAAAACAATATTCTGGCATAAATTTTTTTTTATAATAAGTCCTACCTACATCAAATGGATTTTTAAATGTACATATTTGTGAATTTATAACATAACCAGCGTTTGCACACATGTTACTGTTTCAAGTTTCAAATTATTATATTTTATTATCCGTAGTCTATTTGAAAGTAACCAATGCCTTCATACTCTCTTTGCTTTGGTTTCTTGTCATCAGTAGTCTGCTTGCTATTTGTGCTTTGATGTAACCTTCTCGCCTCTCGTGGCTGTAAACATGGCCCGCTGCTTCTGTGACCATTTTCACACATCTCTCCACACTTTGAGTGTGGGAAGGCCACTTCGGCACCTGCATTGGAGTCTCTTTAAGGTTTCTCAATTCTTGGCTAGTTAGACTTGTTGTCAATGGTGGCTCTAAGACTTCCAAACTCAAGTCAACCAATTCTGACAATTTGGTGGCATTGACGTTTATTGGGGGAACTTTTCTTGAATGAAACGAACAGTCTCCCAACTGGTCGTCATCTATTAGCGTTCCTCTAATCTTTAGAATGACTTCTACAGCCTCGGTTCGGAGATTGGTACATTGACTGCAAAGCATTGCTTGCAAAACTGCTTCTGATCGAGCATACCAAGCGGACCTTCTTGCCACAGGTAACACGATGTCCCTCACTACCTTCCTCTGTGTTCTTACTAGCTGCAATTGAAACAAAAGGTGATTGGGCCCATCCACCCACATAGGATTAAGTTTCACACTAAACCACTGGGGAAGATAAACTCCAATAATAAATTCAACAATTAACCTCAAATTCTTCAGCACTTTGCCCTTCAATTCGTGTTTGGAAATCCAAATCCTGCAGAAACGAAGAGCTGTAGTTAACCAACGGCTGTGACTGACAGGTCCAATCTCCAAGAGAGCCAATGACTGAGGCACTTCTCCTGATCTTATTGCTTGGGCAATACGATAAGCATAGGATTGATCTGTGCTGAGATCTTTGATGACTCCTTCAGACAACGCCGGAAGGGGAGGGCCAACTTCGACCTTTGGAAAGGTTGTATTTATTTCTAGTTGTGTTGCTTCATCCAGCATGATGCCAAGGGGACCTGACCACTTGTTGTTGCTCTTTGTAGGACCATCAAGTTCCTGGATGAGATGACGAAGAGGTAGCTCGCCTGTATGTAAATCACATACAATCCAAACAAGTCTTCTTCCTAGTTTTTTTTCTAAATGCGTCATTACACCCCCCTGCCGTCCGGTGTTCACTGCAGTTGAATCTCCACCAACAGCCTGCAGTGAACTGCCAAGTCCTCTCTCCTGAACCCAACATAAAATATGATCAGCAATGACCTCTGCATGTTTCTTCCCTTCTACTTCAGTTTCGGGAGCAAAGTGAAACAAAAACCGACCACCAGGCTCAGAACAGACAGAGTAGTGTTCTTCTTTGATGAGACCTGGAAACTTTCTGTTCACTCCCTCTACTTCTAGCAAAACTTTTGTGTCATCTATTCTTCCATCAAACAAAAGACAGGAGAGCCCTCCCTCGCTTAAATCTTTTTCATGCTGATCAGATATTTCCTTCATTATTTTTTCTTGTGCTCTTCTAATTTTATTATGATCTATCACCAAAGATACATCCTCTCGGCTGATGAGGCCTGCATCTATCCAAGCGGCAGTTGCAATTTCTGCAGCCTCACGAAGTCCAGCATGGTGGCGAATACTAGCTAAAGCAATGTTTGAAATATTTCTTGTGTTGTATTTCATTTTCTTTGGTAAAGGTTCAGATGGCTCTTTGGAAATCTGATAAACATCTTGACACATGATGGCTTCTTCACTCTTCATTTTCTTCTTTTGTTCCCTCTCTCGGATTTGTTCTCTCTTCTTGGCATTAGCAATCTGCTTCTTTGTTTCTGAATAATCTATTGAACCCATTTGCATACTTCCTTGGCCTTCTGCCTTTGTCCTCTGTGCCTTTATAAATTCAAGCTCTAAAACAGGGATCTTCTTTTCACGAGGACAACCACAATCAATGTGGGAATTATTTTCTCTCTTACCTGAGTGAGAACAGTTGGATTCAGAACATAATTGTATGGAGCACTTGCAGGTCAAAATGTCAAACAGAGTATCAAGTGTGTGCAGAAATTCATTTTTCCTGGCCAAGTTTCCTTTACCAAGTGATGTTTCAACTGCTTTGTGCCATAATTTCGTTAGTTTTAGCTCAATAGTTCGACACTGATTAATCACAGGTGGTTTGAATAGTGCATTAGCTTTTGTCCATTGATGCAGAAGAGGGACTATCATGTCATTTATGAGTTCTTTATCTGTATAGTTCCTTCTGTCCTTTGCATTTTTTTCTCGAAGGAGTAACCCTAATCTTAGCATGTCTCTCACTGTTGGAAGTTCTGATACAGGAAGCTCCTTCCCTTTACCAACTAGCAGGCTCAAGTGGGTTGACAACTGACTTCTTGTCTTCAATTTTGACATCTTCACACTATCTGACAAATAGAAAAATATTTCAATGTTTCATAATTCAATTGTTGTTTCAAAAATATCAATTTGTTTATCAAAAATGCTGTAACAGAAATAACATAATAATTTCTTAGAACATAATGTTTTATACAATGATATAAGTAACTGCGACAATCAATATGCCCTACTTACAATAATTAAAATGTAGAATTCGTCTGGTAGAGTAGGTGCAAGTGCAATGAGAGCAAACCACCGTCTATGATATCTAGAAGGAGAGTGAGCCGGGCGCCTTATCCTCACGCTTGGTACAAGTCAAAACAAGAATTAAACTGTCCCACACGGAGAGCCTGTTCATGTTCATGTTCTGACATGCATATTGTACACAAGCTATAGAACCATAAAATACTCCATAATCCATATGCTTACATGAGATTAGTTAATATCAAGTGAATAATTCTAATCAAGTCTAATTTGTTGAAATACTGATATTTGAAACTTTAAGGTATAATTGATGTAGGTGAGGGTTATTTCAATTCATTTTTGTTTGCTAATCTCAAGTTTAGACATAAAGAGGCACAATATTTTGACTACCAAATTTGATTTTCAACATGTTGACAAAATTGACACACCCTAGTGCAGGAGCTTCGTTAGAGAAAATGTTGCCTGTTGCTGGCCTCCTGGTTGAATGAATGCTAACAGCGTGGAGCTTGCTGGAGGAGGTGTTGCTTGTTCAGGAAGATGGGCAGAATGAGAGTTGGTTGGTGAGGAAGCTCAGAGAAGGACAGCTGGTGGGTCGCCATGCTCGCTGGCGGGAGCGAGGGCCGCCAGGCAGGCGAGGAGAAGCGAAGGCAGCCAGGCAGCGGCGGAGGAGGAGGTGTTGCTTGTTCAGGAAGAATGGTCAGAATGAATCTCAATGGAGAGAGAGAGCTTATATACCCAGCAGCCGCTATGAGTCATGTTGGGAAAACCCGAGAAGTCGCCGGTTCCTAGTTTCGTTGCTAGGATACGGCGGCCCATCTGGTTGGTTGCTAGGGAAGGCGGTAGCAGGTGGTGGCTGTGGCTACGCAGTTGTAGGCAGTTGTAGGGGAGACGTCCACTACACCATATTAGAAATCCATATTATACATACTGTAGATGAGCGTTTGCTCGAAAATAAGGCCAAAACCTAAGAAAAATCCAATTGTTGGGTAAAAGGCTACTCACTGCATTCATCTAATAGATTCGTTAGGCGAAATTTTATTTCCGTATATATTTTGTTATTGTCTATTGTCAATTCTTCTCCCCTCCTCCCCCACCCAGAGTCACACATACTCCACGAATTGAAGGAAATAGATAAGCAACGCTCGAATTACCTCAAAAACAAGCGAAAACTAAAATAAAATTCAACTAATGATGTTTGTGGTCAGCAGCCAGCATGTGGTGGAGACAGAAGCTCGCCTCTGACTCTTCGCCACTGTTCACCATACTAAAACTATTTTATCTTTATTATTCGTGATAGGAAGGTGAAGAAAACTGAAGAGACGCTGTGGGGTATGGGATGTTTGTGTTCACACTCAGGATGGGATGGAGAAAGGAAACTCACAATGTGCTCTCTGTATACATGTTGTATTGGATGTAAAATGCAGCTTGGTGCTGGGAAGTGGCAGCGTGGTTACAAGCGTGATGTAGAGAGAGCTGATTGGTGAGGGTGCTCAGAGGAGGACAGCTTGTCGGTCGCCATGCTCGCCGGCGGGAGCGAGGACCGCCAGGCAGCGGCGGAGGAGGAGGTGTTGCTTGCTGGTTGGTGTAGGTAGAAAAGAGAGATATCACCACGAGGTCGGGTCGTAAATAGCGGGGGGGTAGGCGTGGCTTTGTAGTTGACCTCCGTGATGTATGGAGGCGCTGGTTGACCCAGACCACGAGGCATACACTGGGGAATTCGCGGGGTCGGTACGCAGCGACAAACAGCGTTAGTAGGGGAGAAATCCACCACAATACTCCCCCTTCCCTCCAGGCGGTGTAGGAGACTTGTTGTCTGCAGAGTTGCATGGCACATGTGAGGCGGAACGGGCGGTGCATGCCTCATGTGGGACATAACGGCAGGCGTGGATGAGCTGGCCGCTAGAGGA